GCATATGAGTGCTAATGTCTGCAGAGATTGGAGGTACTGCCTTCTTCTGTAGCCTCTGGAAATGTAGCCAGTGCTCTCAACCACTGAGCCATCTCACCAACCCCATCTTAATTGGGTTTCCTAGTTGACTCCTTATAGCACACAGGCAAAATGACACCGTGTCCTTTTCTTTTATAATTACAGCATACTGAGAAACAGTGTGAAGAGTCAAGACACTAATAAGGGACCCAGAAAAGGCTCCAGGGGCTGGGGATGTAACTCAGAGGTAGTGTGCTTGCTTAAGGCTCTGAGTTTCAGCTCAGCAGCATAAGTTAGAAAGAATCTATTGGGGGGCTGGAGAGATGGCTCAGAGGTTAAGAAAACTAACTGTTGTTCCGCAGGTCCTAAGTTCAATTCCCAGCAACCACATGGTGGGGTGGCTCACACCCATCTATAACGAGATCTGGTGCCCAGAACACTATATACATAATAAATGAATTTAAAAAAAAAAAAAGAATCCATTGGCTCTTCAACAACTTTATTGAAATACACTTCAGATAACATCCACTTCATCTAAAGTACACACGTCAACAGATTTTAGCAGGCTCATGGGATTGAGCTGCCATCGTAGCAACTTCATGACATAGTTTTTTGTTTTCTCAAGGTAGGATCTCACTATGTAGCTCTCTGTTCTGGAACCCACTATGTAGACCAGGCTGGCCTCAAACTCACATTGATCTATCTGCTTCTACTTCCCACATGATGGGATTAAAGATGTATGCCACCATGCCCAGCATTTTCCCCAATTCTTGCCTTAGGTAGCCACCAGTCTACTTTTTTATTATTATTATTTTTAATAGAATCTCACTGTGTAGCCCTGGCTGGCCTGGAACTCACTATGTAGACAAGGTTAGCCTTGAACTCACAAAGATCTGCCATCCTCTCTCTCCTGAGTGCTGGGATTAAAGGCATATGCCACCACATGTAGCCCCCAATCTACTTTCCTTATGAATTTGCCTATCTAACAAATATAAGAGGAATCATACAAAATATATGAACTCTTGTGACTGGCCTCTTATTCCCTATGTTGTGGTATTCTAAATATAATAAAGCAACCAGTTTTCCTGAATTTCTATAAACATTACCAACCCATTAAATCAGAAGACTTCTCCCCTAATAATCTCATAAAGATTTGGGGTGGTTTGTACCCCAGCACCCAGAGGTAAAGGCAGGAGACTACTTTGAGCAAGATGAGATCATTGTCTTAAAAACATACATAGCTGGGCCCAAGGATACGGTTCAGTCAGTAGAGTACTTAGCTATCAAACGCAAAGCACTGAGAATGATTCCCAGCTCCGCTTAGAACTGGGTATACTGGCATACAACTGTAATCCCAGCACTTGGGCATCGAAAGCAGGAGGATCCATAGTTCAAGATTATCCTTGGCTCCGCAGCAACTTTGAAGCCAGCCTGGGTGTTGTGTGGACTATCCTTGGAGCCTCCATCTTTATCAGATCAGCTGTGTTTGCTTGCAGACGGTCATCACAACGGAGCTAGTTCCCTCATAGAAGGCACGCGGAGGAACGGGACTCCCACCTGAGTATCTGGCCACCCCCACCAATCAGTTGTTTGCAATTCTGCCCTGATCATGGCCTCCAGGAGGAGCTGGAGTATGTAACAAAGGCAGGAACGGTCAGCCATGGGAGAGCCTTACCATCCGCGCTGGGCACAGACTTCCACTGTGGCCACTTTAAGGTCACCCATGAGCCTGCCCATAAGGCCTCACCAGTGCTGTGTAAGGAAACCGAATAAACTCATTGGTTTCTAGGGTGACCTTTGGTGGAATGGTACCTGTTTGTCATTGGGAGCTTAGGAGGAAGGAGTAGGTGTTCATATTTCCCCCGGGGAAGGAATTTTAGCAACACTGGGATATGTGTGGCCCTAAATAAATAAACTTCTTTTAACAGACAAGATCAACTAATCGAATATAGTAAGGCCTGTTTTCTTTTTCCTGAAGCAGTTCAGTAACTATCTCATATTCAAGCTAATAATTAATATTTTAACCCCTATCTATTGCCCACACTTAGACTATCCTCAGAGACCTCAGCTGAGGAAGGCCTCTTTGGGTGATGGTATTTTTGTTTCATGTGATTCTGACTCTGTAGCTACCGCCGTTTGAATTAGGGGTCACCACCCACTAAAATGAAGCCACCTTGTGCAATAGGCTTATATAAAGTGTACCCAGCTGGTTAGAAGCTGCTGCAGCCCTGCAGTTCTAGTATTGAGGAGGCTAATGCAGGACTGTGAGTTCAAGGCTAACCTGGGCTATATAGATAGACAATTTCCCTTTCCTCCATCCTCCCCCCAGCCCCCGCAAAGTACCTAAAGCATACACAGATAAAATTGAGACACAGCAAATGGAACATTTCTTTTATTTATTTATATATATATATTTATTATATATACAATATTCTGTCTGTCTGTATGCCTGAAGGCCAGAAGAGGGTGTCAGACCTCTTTACAGATGGTTGTGAGCCACCATGTGGTTGCTGGGAATTGAACTCAGGACCTTTGGAAGAGCAGGCAATGCTCTTAACCACTGAGCCATCTCTCCAGCCCAGAACATTTCTTTAAAAGAAAATGATGGTGGGCTTTTAGGAAGCTACAGTGTTGTGGAACGATCTTTGTTCAGTGTGAAGATGTGTTGATCTCATTGGTTTAATAAAGAGCTAAATGGCCAATAGGCAGGAAGAGGATAGACAGGACTTGTGGACAGGGAGAGAGCCCTCTGGGATGAAGAAGGGCAGAGTCACCAGGCAGATGCAGAGGAAACAGGAGGTATACAAGGTGAACTAACAAGCCATGAGCCATGTGGCAACAAGTAAATGAAATGGATTAATTTAAGTATTTTTTTTTTCAGAAGAGCTAGTGAGAAACAAGCCTAAGTGTTGTTGGTTGTTTTTTATTCTTTTCTCTTTTGGGGGGCCCACCACCCAGCTCCCAAATAAATCACATGGAGTCTTATTCTTTCTTATGAATGCCTGGTCTTAGTTTAGCTTGTTTTTAGCCAACTTTTCTTTCTCTTAATTAATTTGTAGTGGTATTTTGTTTGTGATCTAACAAATAAAGCTTGCCTGAAGATCAGAGTGCAGAGCTAAGTCACTAGTTAGCCATAGAGACCAGGCAGTGGTGGCACACACCTTTAATCCCAGCATTCAGGAGATGGAGGCAGATGGATCTCTGAGTTCAAGGCCTGGGCTACATGAGATTGAATGTTTCTAAAAGAAACAGAGCTCACACAAAGGTGATCCCAGCACCTGGGATCACACACCTTTAATCCCAGCACTAGGGAAGTGGAGACAGGAGTGATATGGCTGGGTACGGACAGGAATGTAAGCCAGGAGGGGACAGGATCAAGGATACAGTTTGAGGATTCGTAGAGACAGGATCACCCTTTTGGTTTGAGCATTGGTAGAGGTAAGAACTCTCTGGTGGTTGACTGCTCTGCTTCTCTGATCTTTAAGCAATAATCCTTATATCTGACTCTAGGTTTTTATTATAAAGATCAATTAGAATTTGTTACATTAATTTATTTTATGTGCATTGGTGTTTTGCCTGCATGCATGTCTGTGTGAAGGTGGCAGATCTCAGAGTCACAGACAGTTGTGAGCTACCATGTGTGTGTTGAGAATTGAACCATGGTCCTCTGGAAGAGCAATCAGTGCCCTTAACAGCTGAGTTAATTCTCCAGCCCTCCTCACCAGCTTTTCTTAAATTATCCTGTCTATCTTTTGCCTCTGGGCTTTAATTTTTATCCTATGTACCTTTCTTCTTATTCCGCGGTTGGCTTTATAGTTTGGTGACTGGCCCCTGGAGTCCTTCTCTTGCTCCTAGATCTCCTCTTCCCCAATTTTTCCTTCTATTTATTCTCTCTGCCTGGCAGCCCCACCCATACTTCCTCCTGCCTTGCTGTTGGCCATTCAGCTCTTCATTAGACCAATCAGGTGTTTTAGACAGGCAAAGTAACACAGGTTCACAAAGTTAAACAAGTGCAACATCAAAGAATGCACCATTTGCATGATTAAAACAAATGTTCCACAGCATAAACAAATATAACACACACCTTAAAGTAATGTTCTACAATGCCTAAGCTACCGGCCAAGAATTTTTTAAAAATTTATTTTATTCAATGTACATTGGTGAGGCTGTCAGGTCCCCTGGAACTGCAGTTACAGACAGTTGTGAATTGTCAACGTAGGTGCTGGGAAATGAACCTAGGTTCTCAGGAAGAACAGTCAGTGCTCTTAGCTGTTGAACCATTTCTCCAGCCCTTGGTTGAACATTTAGAATTAATAAGTCTCTGTGTGGTTATTTGGGAGCTGGTTGGCCAGACAGACTATTCCCCTACAAGTCAGAGAAGTTGTCCAGAGGGGGAAGGTAAGACTGAGGAGCTGGAAGCAGAGGCTGCAAGTAGTGACAGTGACATTGGTAACATTCACATCAAGAGTTACACAGGTAATCCTCCGGTTTGGGTGCTCCTGTTCCCTCAGCTGTCTTGTTCTCAGTTCCATGTAACTAGGTTCTCAAGTCTGATTCTAGGAAGCCCAAGAGAGAGGAAAGAGTTACACATTCACGAGTATGGCGGTGATGGGCTTCCTTCCCTGGACTAGTTCACTTCTGTCTTCATTGCAGGGCTAGAGAGGCTCAGTGGTTAAGAGCACTGAATGCTCTTCCAGAGGTCCTGAGTTCAATTCCCAGCAACCACATGATGGCTTACAACCATCTGTAATGATATCTAGTGCCTTCTTCTGGCCTGCAGGGATGCATGCGGGCAGAACACTGTACATGATCCTAACTTAAAAAAAAAAAAAAAAGATCTCTACTAATACACATGGCAAAATAGTGCCTGGGAGTAAGCAGTGGACAAAGGACATGAGGAAAATGGAAAGCAAGTAACAGTGAGTTTATAATCACTTTAATAAAAATAGTTAAATATTCAAATTAAAATGAGATTATCAAACAGTGCATATAAAGGGAAGACTCGGCTGTATGCTATCAGCAAGAAGTCCAACATAAACATATCACAAGTAGGTTAAAACTGGTTAAAGTAAAAAGAAAGATAAAAAGACATACTATACTAACATTAATCCAAACAGAGCTAGTTGTACCAAAACAAGACAGGAATGAATAGAGGGTCATTCTCGTCTCTTCTGCAGTGCTAGAGATCAAACCCAGTGCTTTGAGTATGCTAGGTAAGCGTTCTACCTTTGAAAGATAAATCCAGACCTCAGCGTCACTTCCTAATGATACCATCCCATATATTCATTTAACTTCCAAATATATGAGAGAGAAAAAAGGCAGAACCGAGAAACAATTGTATAGATTTAACAACCTTTTTGTGACTGGTTTCTTAATGTTCTATGACTAGTTTAGAATGGTGGACACACAGACGAAATGTGGCCAGAGGGCTTTTGTTATTTTAAAATTCGCTGGCAAACCTGCAATGGATCACCATCGCTCAGGAGGCTGAAGTAGGAGGATATTCTGGACTACATAGCAAGACTGACTCAAGTAAAGATGCAAAAAAGCCTTAGATAAGACGCTGTTCCCTTTGACTAGTGGCACCATCAGTATTGTTAAAAACAATTTCAGTTCTCACCTAGGGCCTGCAACTCCAGCATTCCGAAAGCTGAGGCAGGAGGATCTGAGTTCTAGAGCAGTCGGGGTTATATAGCAAGAGCCCGTTTGAAGAAAATAATCAGTTCTCACTGGCCAGCTACACTGCACAGCTGAGAAGGAAAATAAATCGAGGGATTGTAGGCAGCCGTTTGGAAGCTCATTAAAATTCAGATTGCTGGCCCCACCCCCACGCGGTCCGGACGCAGCCGCAGCAGCGCGCGCTTGGATTTGATTCTAATACTATCTCCGGTGACGCAGCTCGTCCCAGGACCGCGCTTCCCGAGCCAACTCTGTCGTCCCCTCCGATCGTCGACTTCCGCAACACTAGTCGGAGGCGAAACAAAACTCAGCGGTAGGACACGGCGTCCCAAAGTCGCGCAAACAACTCCAAGACAACATCCCGCCGCCAAGCGAGTTCCGGACACCGGAAGTACGCGTACCCACGTCGGCGTCAGCGTCACGTCCGCGTCGGCCACGTCCAGCGGAGACGGGAACAAGATGGCGATCCCGGGCAGGCAGTGAGTGATGTGGGAGATAGGGTCCGGCTGGGGAGTAAGCAGCCAGGGAGACCGAGTCTTTAGGCTGAGACGTCAGAGGTCGCCGGAAGTGCAGGGCGGCTGCCGCCAGGGCTAGAGGCGGGAGAAGGCGAGGAATCCCCAGCCACATAGAGTCCCCACCCCCGACCCGTACATTTTTCCAGGATGCAAGCCCGAAGTTTGAGAAACTTGTGAGGAAATAAAGGAAGTTAGGCTGAGGGGCAGAGAGCGAGACTTTTCTATTTCCCAAAAGCTCGGTCTGAGGCCCCTCAGTCTTGCTTCCTACCCCGCGCTTGAGTTTCTCCCGGTTGGATGCGCTCAGGGGCACTGAGAAGAGAAACTCCTGGGTTCCTTAGAGGCCCCGTTCTCCTGGGCAGAAGCTCAAGGCCTGCTTCCCACCCTCCCTCCTGTGTTAGGAGTGTGGTGCTGAGAAGCCACAGAAAAGGGTAGGCATCTAGGAGACCGGGGTGTCCGCTGCCGTGAAAGACACAAAGACTGTAAAGGTGCCCGGAGGTTTTGCCTTGGGCGTGTAAACCTTCCGCTGCCACGTCCCGTGGCCTCTGCATTTTAAAAGCCAAAGCCTCGAGAAACGAGCTGAGTTGAATCTGCTGATGATTCTCAAAGGCTCTTAGACAAAGCTAGAGCTCGGTCATTGGTGAGGGGAACTTTGCCTGTGGTGACGCGCCCGCAGACAAAAGCTCTTGAGCCTAACCGGCGAACGGGAACTAGCCATTCTGCTTGGCTTTCCCAGTACTTCTTTTAAAAGTTTAAGTGGATTCATTATCAAGAACTTATAAACTGTGGAAGTCCACGGTAGTGGGAACAGCCAGAGACCAGGTTTTGTTTTTTTTTTTTAGCAAATTTGAAAAGAGCAGACTCTAACGTGTGCCTATTAAAGATTACTGCCACTTCACTGGGTAAAACATTCCTTTTTTTTTTTTTGGTTTTTCGAGACAGGGTTTCTCTGTGGTTTTGGAGCCTGTCCTGGAACCAGCTCTGTAGACCAGGCTGGTCTCGAACTCACAGAGATCCGCCTGCCTTTGCTTCCCGAGTGTTGGGATTAAAGGCGTGCGCCATCACCCGGCTGGGTAAAACATAACTGTAGTCTTCATTTACTTCTCTTCCGTAGTAAAAACAATGTTCGAGTTTGGTCCAGGTAGACAAATAATAATTATAAAATCATGATACATTAGAATCTCGAGGTCACTGCAAAACAACAAGTCCGTTATTGTGTTCATAGGTTGTATGACTATGTTTTAATTTGGGAAATTCATCCAGAAGAAGCAGTGGATTTGTTATGTTTTAACATTTAAAGATAATGGTGTGATTTCTATTTCAAAAAAACTATGCAGGTATGGGCTTCTTTTGCCAAAGAAAACACAGCCGTTGCACCGAGTTTTGCAAAAACCGTCTGTATTTGGGAATGATTCTGATGATGATGAGGTAAGGAAACCCATATTTTTACTCCTACATCAGGAGAACATTTTTAAAACTGCTTGTAGATTTGTTCTTCCCCTTGGTTTTGGAGTATTATGTACAGACCCTTCAAAAGGGCTGTTTAAAGAGAGCTCTGCTGTTATTTTCCCTTTGACTTAAAATCCCTCCTCCCCCCACACCCCACCCCTGCTAACTTAGTTACTTATAGTTTTGTGCACTCTTCCCAGACTCTGATAGCGATGCTGTTTCTAGGAGTGAGCCAGGATGCTAGCTGCTTCCTAGAAGTTTTCTTAGTTTCTGATGTGTACTGATCTAGGATGACAGTTTCTTTGTGCAGAAATGGTTTTTGTAGTTATTCCTTCAGTGCCTGTTAAATGCAATTGCTTTGTTATAATTGAGCTGTTGAATACATACAATTTTGATAAAACTGTAGTATCTTAATGAACATTTTCTATTTTAGTAGCCAAAGTAGTAGTTTCCTCTGAAACCCAGGTGTTTTCTTATTTTTTTCAAAAACAGCCCCCAAGTGTGTGCTTATCGTTTTTTTTCTTTTTAGTTTTGGGTGCATTGGTGTTTTGCCTGAATAAATGTCTATGTGACGGGGTTGGATCCCGGAGTTACAGACAATTGTGAGCAGCCATGTGGGTGCTGGGAACTGAACCTGGGTCCTCTGGAAGAGCAGCCAGTGCTCTTAACCTCTGAGCCATCTCTGCAGCTCCCGCGTGTGCTTAACTTAACATCAAAGTTGATTATGTTTCTTAAAGACACTTGGATCAGACTGATCTGTCACCTCTTTTGCTTTTGGCAGAAAATAACGTCTCTTCCAGATTTTCTAATTATTTATAAGTACAGGTAGATATTTTGTATTCTTTGCCCCCTTTTTTGGAAAAAAAAAAGATTATGTTTACTTTTAAAAATTAAATTTACATATAAAACTTGAAAATTTTATTAGCTCAGTTTGTTTTGCGTGTTTGCTTTGAAGCAAGAGCTCCATGTGTAACAGAGGCTGCCTAGAACTCAGGATGTATGTAGCCCAGACTGACTGCCCTGATCTCCCTCCAGGTCCTAGGAACCAGGCATGTGCTGCATGCCTGTCAAGAGTTGATTAGTTCCATAGCTGTAGATAGCAATAGTGGGGGTGGGCATCATAAATAGATGCTCCCAACCTTACATGGACTCAACTTACGAGTTTTTGCTCTATGATAATGCAGAAGCAGCGCACAGTCAGTAAAGGTGTACTTGGAATTTTGGGCTTCCTGGACTAGCTGTACAATACTCTCCTACACACAGATAGAGAACAGCCATGGGATCTTGAGGGTGAATAACCCATCTACAGTACAATGCATTCCCAAGCGATCATGTTTGGGAGGTTAAGGTGCAGTCAGTATATTTTGGTGGTGGTGTTTGTTTTTGTTTTGAGACAGGGTTTCGCTCTAGCCTGGCTGGCCTGGAACTTAATGCGTAGACCATGCTGGCCTTGGACTCAAAAAGCTCTGCCTGTCTCAGCCTCTGCTTTCTGAGTGCTGGGATTAAAGGCATGTATTACAGCACCCAGCAATAGTAGATGTTTTTTACTTAGGATAAGTAGACTTTTCAGGAATTAACTCCCTCGTAAATTGAAAGCCATCTGCATAGTGATGCTTTCCACCAGTTTAGAGTTCAGTAGTAGAGACACAAGTAAACACTGAGGCAGACGGAAATTTGGAAAAAAATTACTGAGGATTTCTATGTACCTAGTATACTTGGATAGTCACGACTATCCTGTGATATACATTATCTTCATCTTACAGATGAGGTTGAAGTTGGAACAAGTTAAGAAATTTTTCCATTACTACTCCATGGAGCTAATAAGTCAATGGCAAGATTAAGATTTGAATACAGGAGACAGCTAGATGGTTCAGCCCATAAAGGCGTCTGGTGCCAAGCCTGAGCTTGGTGTACGGGACCCATGTGGTGGTGGAGAGAGGACTGACTAATGTTTTCTGACTTCCTCCACCTGTGTGCCTACACGCACACATAAGTAAATAAATGTAATAATAAAGTTTGGTCCATCAGATTCTCAAATCTACATTTTTCCTATTTTTCTTTCTTGTTTTATTTTAATAATCGAGCACTTAAATGTTAGTGAAATATCGAAGACAAAATTACTTTGCTGAAGGAACACTATGCAGGAATAGCTATTTAAACAGCTTTCAAAGCTGGTTTAGATTTGAGTGAAAAAGGTGGAGATCATTTCAATTGAGAGAGAACAAAGAACATAAATTATAGGGCATTTTTGTGGAATAATAAGTTAAGAGAATGCTTGGAAAAACAATTGTTGCAGTGAGGTTTTAAGAGGTTGAGGCCAGTTTATGGAATATGTTGCCCTGCTGTGTGAAATGTCAACTTGACTATTGTAAGTAGTTTTTGAGTACTGTGTTTAGTTCGCATAGGGATGACACCCATTTTATCTTGTGTTCATCTTGAGAAGCACAGAAGGGGAGAAAGTCTAACGTTGAAGAGTCAAGAGTTTGAGGGCAGCCTGGACTTTGGTGTAAGAAAACCTTGTCTCAGCCGGGCAATCCCAGCACCCAGGAGGCAGAGGCAGGCAGATCTCTGTGAGTTTGAGGACAGCCTGGTCTACAGAGCTAGTTCCAGGAGAGGCTCCAAAGCTACAGAGAAACCCTGTCTCGAGAAAACAAACAAAAAAAAAAAAAAAGAGAGAGAGAGAGAAAAGAAAGAAAAACGAAAGAAAGAAAACCTTGTCTCAAAGAAATGGGAGTGGGGAGGAGAGGAGATTAGAGCCCAGGCTTGTTCTAAGTCTTCTATGGTAGTTCAGATAGGAGATGGAGATCTAAGTTTTGTTCCCAGGGTAGAGGAAAGCAGAGGGAACAGACTTCACCAGGAACGTGATGGCTGAGTACTGCATTAGGAATTTATTTTATATTTTTTACTTTGTGTATGTGTGGGCGCATGTGTGCCATGACACACGCATGGAAGTCAGAGGACAGCTCAGGGAGTCAGTTCGTTCCCACCGTCACTCAGGTTCCTAGAACTGACTGCAGGTTTGTCAGGCTTGGCATAGCTCCTTCACCTGCTGAGCTCTTTGGCCAGCCCTGCTCTAAGATTGCTGTTCTAGTCGCTAGGGTTAGCACAGGGTGCAGGGGAAGAGAGTTGACGTACAATGTGTGGATTTTTCAGCACATTGGAAAAGTAGATGCAATTTTAGATTTACTCATTGGAATTTTTAAAGTTTCTTTTATAATTATTTATTTTGTACGAGTATGTGAGTGGACATACTCTTGCCATGGCACATGGATGTTTGTTATGTAACAGGGTCACACTCAGGTAGTCAGATAGGGTGACAAGCATCTTAACCCTCTGATCCATCTCCACATGCCCACCTCTCCTTAAAAAAAAATAAATAAAAAGGTGAGTGTGAGCCTTCCTCTGCCAGGTTGCACGTGTACAAGTCAGAGGACAGCTTTCAAGAGTTGGATCTCTTCTTCAGTTTGTAGAAGTGACCTCTGGCCAGTTCTGCCTGTTTCTCATCTGCCCAGAGGAGCACTGAGATTACAGATTCAAGCCACCACATGCCATTGTTTTTTTTTTTTTTTNTTTTGGTTTTTCGAGACAGGGTTTCTCTGTGGCTTTGGAGCCTGTCCTGGAACTAGCTCTGTAGACCAGGCTGGTCTCGAACTCACAGAGATCCGCCTGTCTCTGCCTCCTGAGTGCTGGGATTAAAGGCGTGTGCCACCATCGCCTGGCATATGCCATTGTTATATTAGCTCTGGGGATCACGCTTAGGTTGTCAGGCTGTGTGGTAAGCTCTTTTACCTGACAAGGCATCCCATTGACCCAGTTATCCCCTTTTAAGAAAATACTAAGGTACATTCTATATGCCATATACTTCTGTTTTAATTTTTCTTTCCTTCCCCCATCCTCCAGAGCTGAGGACCAAACCCAGGGCCTTGTGCTTCATAGGCAAGCACTGTACAAGCACTGAGCTAAATCCCCAATCCCTTCTGTTTTAATTTTTAAATTGCATTTATTTATTTTGTGTTTGTGTGTGTGTGTGTGTGTGTGAATGATTGTGTGTGAGTTTGAGGCCAGCCTGGTCTACAGAGTGAGTTCCAGGACAGGCTCCAGAGCTACACAGAGAAACCCTTTTTCAAGAAGAAGAAGAAAGAAAAGAAATGGAATTGCTAGTTTATATGATAATTATGTGTTAGCATGTATGGAATCATCAAAGTGGCAGTACCACTTTGCTTTCCCATCAGTGTTATGTAAAGGTTCCATACCCCCAATATCTTTTTGAGATTAGAGGTGGGTGCCACCTCACTCAGCTTTCTTTTGTAACATAGCTTTTTAGCGGCACACCTCATTGTGTTTTTGATTTACATCTTCCTGATGAACAGTGATACAGAAATATCTGTTCATATCATTTACCTATTTTTAATACTAAGTTGACACTTACATGTATTATAATAGTTCTTTGTGTATTCTACTACAACTGCTTTCTTAGATATATGATTCGTAAATCTCTTTTTCCCTTTTTGTTGCTTTTTGGTTTTGGTCGTTTTTTTTTTTGTTTGTTTTGTTTTTTAGTGTTTTGAGGCAGAGTTTCTCTATGTAACACCTCTGTCTGTCCTCGAACATACCGTGTAGACCAGACTGGCCTCAAACTCACAGAGATCCACCTGTCTCTGCTTCCCAAGTGCTGGGATTAAAAGTGTGTCCCATCACTGCCCGGCTGTAAATAATTTTTTTTCGTTCATGGTTGTCCTCATTTTCTTGTTGATGTGCTTTGTAGGATGAAATTTCACTTTTGAGGAAGGCATTTTGTTTCTTCCATTGCTAGTGTGTTGGTGCCATATATCGGAAAAACATTACCTAATGTTTTCTAAGAGTTCTGTAGTTTTAGCTCTTAAACATAGGTCTTTGATCAACTTTGCGTTAACTTTTGTTTGTTGTCTCAAGTAGTGATTGAATTTCATTCTTTTGCACATAGCCATACAGTTCTTCCA